TGCTACCCACAGTTAAATTTGGTGGTGGTTCCATCATGCTGTGGAGCTGTGTGGCCAGTGCAGGGACTGTTGAAGGTCGCATGGATTCCAGTCAGTATCAGCAAACTCTTGCTAACAATGTTCAAGAATCAGTGACAAAGTTGAAGTTGCGCCGGGGCTGGATACTTCAACAAGACAACGACCCTAAACACCGCTCATATTCTACCAAAGCATTCATGCAGAGGAACAAGTACAACGTTCTGGAATAGCCATCTCAGTCCCCAGACCTGAATATCATTGAAAATCTGTGGTCTGTTTTAAAGTGGGCTGTCCATGCTCGGAAACCATCAAACCTGACTGAACTGGAGATGTTTTGTAAAGAAGAATGGTCAAAAATACCTTCAACCAGAATCCAGACCCTCATTGGAAGCTATAGGAAGAGTTTAGAGGCTGTTATTTCTGCAAAAGGAGGATCTACTAAATATTGATATAATTTTTCTGTTGGGGGGTCCACATTGATGCACCTGCCTATTTTTGTTTAAGTAATTATTGCACACTTCTGTAAATCCTATAAACTTCATTTCACTTCTTAAATATCACTGTGTTTGTTTGCTATATGATATATTTAATTGAAATTGCTGTTCTGAACAACCAATGATCCATAAAGGAAAATCTTGAAAACAATCAGGGGTGCCCAAACTTTTTCATACCACTGTATATGCTCACGCAATGCTGATGTATGTGTATGTCTGTACATGTGTATGCATATTTAGATGCATATGTGTGTAAGTATAGATATGTATGTGTGTGCGCGTATGTATATATAGTGCATATAGGTGGATGTGGGCATCTGCATCTTTATAACTTAAATACTGTATATAATATATATACATATTTATACACAGTACTATCACCAAGGTGAGCAGTGGGCAGCTTTGTGGTCTTTAATGTCTTTGTGTGTTGACCTGCTTTTTATATACTTGTTTCTTCGATCCCTTATTCATTTCTGACATCAAGTACTATTATCTGAAGGAAAAGTTAGAGTGTACCATGTGAGTGAGCTGCTCCATCACACACTCCACCACCTCCGATCTGTTCGACAACAGCTCCGGGGAGAACTTCTCATTGAGCCAAGCCTGCAGACACACACACGGATATAACATTAAGAACAACACAGACTGGAAAAGCACGTGTCTGTCCATTCAATTGTGTGTCAGAATTATATTTTATTATTATTCAACTAACTTCTTCCAGTTTTTCGATCAGCTCTGCCGGAGTCATGACGTCCTCCTGACCGCCATCGTGGCTCGCGTCGCTGCCGCAGTCTGACAGGGCATCCGACATAATTCTTCTTCCAAAAAATCCAAATGTATATAGGACAGTGTTTGTTTCTTAATCTACAAGCGAAGTTCAAAGTAGGTCTGGGTCATCAAAATAAATTCAATTACCAAAACACACTACAACTCTAGCTGTAGCCTAAACTTCCCGTTCTTAGTGCTTGTTTATTGGCGCCACCAGAATTGTGTTCTCGCGAGAGGTGTTCTTCCGGTTCTTTCTTGTTCGATTACTAAGCCTAGAGATATTTTTCGCCCTCTACTGGTCTGAAAGATGGCTGCAAACCATATACTACAAACTGCTATTTATTTTGAAGGACATGTAATTATTTTAAGAATACGTTTTAGATATTAAAGGTATTTAAGACACAAAATTATAATTATGTCATTTTAATATTTAGGCTTTTAGCATTTTTATATGTTAAAAGCAGGTAACTGAAAAAGTCTCAAGTACACACAATTTTAATGTCTATATACCATTTTAACTTTTGCTGTACTTTATCAAATAAAAAAATTATTAATTACCATAAAGACCTAATCTCATAAGCTCAGTGACAATGCATTTAGTAAAAGTATGGAGGACAGATTCAGTATAACATATAAGTGTTTTAATTCATTAATGACAATTTCAGAACTTTACATTTAAATATGTAACTTTACAATGGAAGTATCTTTTTCAACAGATTTTTACATACAGTACAATGACATACAGTACAGGAGAATTAGTGCAAGCAAAAGTCTGAAGTACAAAATATTTTCCTAAATTAAACTGCATGTTTAAAAAAGAGGATTTTATTGCTTCTGTAAACATGACGATATGTATGTTAAAAACCAATACACAAGAGTAGGGTCATGTGTGTGGGCCGGAAAGCGTATGTGGCTTTTTTTTTGTTTTTTTCATAAATATGACCTTAATACATGCAGTTATACATACATAAAGGCAGCAAACAAACCTAATGTACACCCATAAGCTTTTCTTATTTATTTATTTTTTCATTTGAAAATATTTCCTTCTCTCATGGGCAAAAACATATTTTGTATATATATATATGTTTATATATCAATATATATATATCAATATATATCAATATATATATATAAATACAGTACATCAGTAAATTTAATTAAGTTTACAGTTTAATTCCGTACCTTACACGAACACTATGTAACTCACATAACCTTAGAATTAACTTAACTTATATAGCTTACTTTTGTTTTACTTTTCTATTATTTATTTATTTTTTGCTTTTTTCTTTCTTTAGTGGGCATCACGCTCATATTTATAGACAAGTTCATGCTTTATTTCCATGGTCATCATGTGTTTCTTCTTCTATCTATCATCCTTACCACTCACTCTCTTAGAACTCATTACTATTACGAAGAATAATGCACAAAATAGAGAGAAAATCACGCATATAACATTACGTACGGAAGCGATGCTTACAGAAGTCACCAAACACGTAAAGTGAATGAATGAGGTGGCGTGGGCTGCTCTGAGTGCTCAGCCACCTAGTGTCGGCGCATGCTCGGATCTCGAAATAGAAATTTACAGTATGGAGGTAATATTCCAGTGTATCAATCAACAATAATTTTAACAATGACGACATTAAAAATCATAGCTTCTGGGTATACGCAGGGTTGATGGCAGGTAGAGTGTATCCAGGATGTGGACCTATTAGGGGAACGGAGTAGGGATACGGATAAATAGCAGGAGGAGCTGGACCCACCGGTACCCGGTGATGGTACATCAGCTGAGACTGTGGCAGTCTCATTCTGTTGGGCAGAAACAGAGAGTGCAGAGGAGGCTGGGGCCGAGAGTCTCTCACTGATTTATCGTAGCCTGACAGGACACAGAATACGGGCAGCTGGGCAGCAGAGTGGACCATACCCTGCTGATGGGGAAATTTTTGTGACCCTGTCCGGCACTTTTCCCTCTTTTCCGTCTGATGAAACCACGGGTCAATATTGGTTAGCTTCCGGGTGGTAGGTTCATCCTGATAAGTTGGCCGAATGGGAGCGGGTCGTAGAGGCTGCACAGACCTTGGAATAACTTTGTAGAAACTCGAAGAAGGCGTTGGCTGCAACGAATAATGTGGATATTTACTGCTAACTCTGTGGATCGGCTCCCAGCCTGAGTCTTTATCTCGGCATTTGGATAAATGAGGGGGCAATGATTGACAGTTGCCCAGGGCAATGTCTTTATTTGGCCCCGCAGAGCTTATTGGTACCTGAGGGCAGCTCAGAGACTGATTAATCTCACTGCAGTTGGACTTTTTTTCTACACGCCTCAATTGTTTCTTGATTATTTCCGAGTTTAATGCTGGTTTGTCTTCACCTCCTTGTGGGTTGTCCTCTGATGAAACTGAGAGAGGTGAAGGGCTGCGTGAGGAGGAAGAGGATGATAAAGGTTGTGGGGAGCCTTCAGACGAGCTGCAGTTGTGTCTGGAAAACACCCGAGCTGGAGACTGTGAGCAGCAGATGACCGACGGCCGTTCTATGTCCTCACCCTGTGGACTTGTGGGCCGGTTGAGGCTGGCCTGGGCTATTCGCTTTTTTTTCTCCAGAGGAGAGATGACCTCTGCTGCTGCAGCAGGAGGAGCTGCAGGAGGAGCTGCAGGAAGGGGGGCAGGTTGTGGAGAACTGTGGACTGGAAGAATGGCATAGACAGAAGAGCAAATATCCCTGTTTGGCTGTGAGCATGTTGGGTACTGTCTGTCAGGGGTAGCAGTCCAGAGACCAGAGTGAAGATGCATCACTGCTTCACCGTGACCTGCAGGACCTGGATTCCTTTGAGCCAGTATCTGTAAAATACCACAGGAGGGTGTTCTTTTACACAATTACCACATACAGGCACACAGTGGAGGAGATGATGTTGATCAGACAGTCTCTTACGTGAGAGTCCATGTCTTCCTCCACCTGACACCTCTTCCTCTTGATCTCACACTTTTTGACCTTGTTTTCTGGGTTTCTCTTGTAAGGTTTTCGTGGTTTGCTCGGAGGCAGAGGTTTGTCTTCCTCTCCTTTCATGTGTCTCTCAAAGGGCAGAACAAGCCTTAAAAACAGGTTTTTATGAATTATACAATAGGCTGACTAAAAGGAAATTGTGGATATTCTTGCTGAGAACTTAGCTGGAAACATGGTTAGGATTCTCACCTCTCATAGTGACGACGAGTGCACGTAGCAGCGCTGGTGCTTCCTGGACTTCCTCCCAGCTCATCATACACTTTCTTCCACAGACGCTGTGCTGTCACCTGCAGTTAACACAATGATGACACATATGACGTTATGGAACTTTAAGATAAGAAAGATAGTTGACTTAAAAAAAAAGCAAAAATATTTAAATATTCACTCATTTACATCACATAATGATTTTAAACGTTAAAATGTGAAATCATTGTACTTGTTGTGTGTACACATTGTTCAGCCCATAGAGAGGTTCCTGGGGCCCCACTGTGTCTGCCTTCTGTTCTAATCTGCTTCAAACAAAGGTCACTGACAGTCTATTATTTAAATGCCAAATTAAAGTGCTGTGGTTTTCCACTCTGGGTTTTTTTTAAAATGTGCATTCATACGCAGGCCTTGTTTTTTCGTATCAGTTCACAAACGCAGCAGTGGCAGCAGGGGTCTTTGGTTTTAGGGTCAGAACTTGTAGCCTATATTAGTGTGTCTATGCCAGTGTGTCTTTTTTTGTTACTATCAAAGACATGACAGTGTGGCTGGAGAGTGTACACTCAATCGCACGTGTGAGTGTGACAACCATCGCACGTCTGAACGGTCATATATTTCTATGTTGCATCAAGCGGTCAGTAACGTCCTTGTACTTACTAAGTCGTAACCTCCACGCTTCTCAACTGCTTTGTAAATCCTCCAGAGATTAACTGAAAAACACAAACATGTAGGACACTTTTATATTGTATTTTATGATTGTTGAGGAAATTATACTGTATATGCATGACCTGAAAAAAAGTAACGTTGAAGGCTACCAATGATGTTTGTAAATGATATTTGCTGTATCTGACCTATGAGTACATCTGTATTTGATCACACTCATTTTATTCTCCTCTTTCCTCTACTCCAACTTATCCTCAGTATTATCCTTATTATTTTCTATAAGCTCTTCCTCCTCTAGATAAAATTTGGTGACCACAAAAACCCCTACCTTTAAAAAGGTTGTAATAATTTACTAGCCATGCGAATCAGCATTTTGTATTTTGAGGTGAAAGGTGATTTTTTTTTAATTGCCTTTCTAACTATCATATTTCCCGGACTATAAGTTGCTCCAAAGTATAAATCGCACCAACCAAAAAAAACGCATAATTAAGAGGAAAAAAACATATATAAATCGCTCCGGAATATAAGTCACACCAGTGCCCTCTAGCGGCTGTCAGTGTGAAAATAACGAACATGTAAATTTTCAGTGGTACAGGAGTAGCAGATACTGGTACTCAAGCCTAAAGTGCCCTCTTGTGGCTGTCAGTGTGAAAATAACAAACATGTGAAATTATATATTTTTAAATATATGACGCACCTGAGTATAAGTCACCAAACCCAGGTAAAGGATAAAAAAACAAATGCAACTTGTAGACCGGAAAATACAGCATATCTAATGCATCATCAATGAAGTTTAATTTAGTCATTGTTATGTCCAACACCATGTGATCAAATCCTGTTGTCAGATTTCTCCATATTAATCCCATAATCTCAAGTTCCAAGACAGAGATTTATTAAATGTTAGTTATAATAGCCCTGGAGCTTGTATTGACAACAGAAAACATACAGAAAATATGAAGACATCTTCAAACAAACAAATTGTTTTTTCATTCATGCAGCTGTCTTCAACTCACTCTGTTTAAAGCCCAGGTGAGGGATCCTCTCGATGGGTGAACCTTTTTCCTTCATAAATAAGTGAAGACTTAACACAAAGGCTTTTTCCTCTGGCTGGCCTGCACCAGACCCTGCCTCCTCCTCCTTCCTCTCCATCTCCTTCTCCACCTCCTCCTCGTCCTCCTCCTCATATTCAGTCACAGAGTCATGAATCTCAATGACAGCCGGCAAAGTCTAGATTAGAAAAGGTGTTGTTTAATTGACTATAGAATTTTCTTCTGTGAAGGTGACAGGGTTCACTACACTCGTGCACAAATCTGTTTTACAGTTGATGGTGTTTTTATAGATGGGGAAAGACATATACAATTTCTCTCATGGGACAGAAATGTTGATATGAAAACCTGGGTATTTTTTTCTAACCACTATTTTCAGTATATAACCACCCCACATCCTGTCTGGAGGGATATTTGTAGACCTGCAGGGTTTTTAGGTCTACACACCATTTAGAATAACACAGACGAGAAAGAGTTTATGCATGAAGTATAACAAGCAGTTGTTGACAGCTGAGCTTTACACAGATCTCACGTGTGGTTTTATGGCAGTTAGGGTGATATTTCACAGAAATGGTGTCACTGACTGTTGGGATGTTCAAGTGAACTGGACCAGACTGCCCAGAAGGCCAACTTAAGAAATTGTTAATGTCACAGTTTGTGGTTTGCAGAAAAGCAGAAATGAAACAGTGAAGGCAGGCATAATTCAAAGTATCAGTTAGAGAAATTGCAGAAGGAGACGCATGGAAGGAATAGAACATAAGAAGAGAAACTGTTGATCGAGGATGTTGTGTGTCTTTATATGCTGATTATATTCTAAATGTTTTATTAGCACACTGTTGATCTCCGTGTCTGATTGACACTATGTATTAGTGTACGTTTGTAGTATTATTTCATATTACAGCTATATATTTAGTTGGAGAGAAGAACAATAGTCATTTAGGAAACATAGTTATGCTGTGCAAAGGTCCACAAATATTGACGTTATGAATAAGAGGACATGCAATACAACACAGCCTAAATGGCAACTTGTGCTCTACTAATGTAATGCAAAGCGGTCATTTTTTAAGAAACACATTTCACAGATCATTATTATAAAACAACAACTATTACTGCAGTCAAACTGTGAGTTACTGAAGTTCGCAATGTCTAAAAGTTAATCTAAAAGACTCACTTCGTCTCTGGGTCAATCACTTTGAAAGGACAGGATAATAATTTTAGAATTTTACATTGTATCACTTGAAGCCTTTATTTCACGCAGTCATTACACAACAAAAACCACACAAGGTGGTTTCATATTGAATCAAGTTCCTCTATGTAGTTCCTGGTTCCGAGAAGCATCTCGGGGTGAGTAATAGTGAAGGTGCAGGCTTTTACCGAAGAGAGTCCCGACTGAGTCACAGCTCAGAGACCCTGCAGAAGCCGACACATCTGACTTTCCACTTTTCCTGTGAACCGATGTAAGAAGCCATATTTCCTATTGCGACATCTACACTTATTTTGACGTCAAAGCACATTTAGTTTTTCTGGTCTGGACTTGTGTAAAATTTACCAGAATTTAACAAATGTGGTGGCAAAATGAAAAAATGGTGGCGTGTCTTTTGGTCTCTGGTTCAGATTTATTTGATTCAGAAAAACTTTCAGTTTGATGCATCAATGGTTGCGTACAGGAAACGTCTGCGCTCTCTCTCTTAGCCACAGACTGTAGCCTGTAAAGATGTGATCTCAGTCTGCAGCACAGAGCAAGGATCGCTGTGAAACATCAGTTCATTTTCACTTTGTATGTGAAGGTTTTTTTATCTCTCACTCTTCTTCTTTTTTTGGAAAACTTTGTGGGTGACATTTATGTCACTGTGTTGATATGTGACTCTCACAGTGGCACACAAAGACGAATTCTATCAGCAGACCTAAGGTCACCACAGAAACCATCAGGCTTTCAAGTCACATCAACGCTGGAAATTTGATGAGCTATTTGGTACTTCTCACATTCAGTTACCAGAAGAGCATCTGTGACGACCTGCAGGTTTCTGCACGTAGCCAAATATTACAATGCAGAACAATTTATTGTCTGCCGTAGGGAAATTCATCTTGGACTGAGCTCAGCATTATTAACCTCCACTACAGTAACAGTATCGTTAAAAACAAACGTCACAGATGTGTCAAATCGCAGCAATTAAAATTCACTCTCAGTCCACTGCACGCACTTTAACACACCCATGGAACTCTAGTTATTTATACTAATATTTATTCATCCTGGTTGGACAGTATTTACCTTCATTGCTGACTTAACTCAGACACAGGTTCAACAAGAAAGAGATGTGGTGCCACATTGACCTCATAGTAACGGTTTATTGTTGACGTGCGGCATGTCTATGACGTGAGCATCTCCTATTTCACCACAACCCACAGGTGCTCTGGATGAAAGTTTATGTTACATTATGACTGGCAGTTCAGTACATGCTGTCAGAATAGCATTCAGGGTCGTTCAAACTGATAGCTATATCAATAAGATGGCCAAAGGTTATTATAAGACTACACATCCTCATGAGGTGGATTTTGTACTGCTAATCAATTCGCTTAATACACTGAGAGACTGAACTGACATCTATTTATTACACTGTATGCTATTGGGTTAATTTAATCTGTTGGAATGACATACTTATCATTCTTCTCGTTCTTCTTATTCAATATTTTTCATGGACAGAAGTGGTATTCACTGTGTTGTAACCAATCTGCTTTGAGATTATGTTACTAAATATCAAGATCAACAACGTGACTCAAAATTTTAATTTCAGCAAATTGTACAAATACAATTCCTGGTATCACTTAGATATGTAATATTAAAAAGGGGAACTGATGCAAACCAGTGGAACACCTGTGCCTGTATATACAACCTTGTTGTACTGATTAAAACAGTGAAAAGTTCCATAATGGATAATATAGTAATTTTTCAGAAGTCTTCTTCTTACTCAATCTTTCACAATCTTCCATCAAGATGAAACAAAGCACCAATCAGCACTGAGAATGTACCACAGGCAGAACAATGGGGAAATAAGTGGCACCATATTTGGGTAGATGTCTTCACTAGAACTGCAAACAAAGTGGTAAACTGCACAGTGTGGGGTTTTTTTCTTCAGGAGTGGGTGAATGTGTAAGTGTACCTGCTTCATTGTCCACTTCTCATCACCACCAGAGTCGGTCTGTGCCGCTGGCGCCTCACTCTGGTCCTCAGCAGCAGCTGTTTAGACGCAGGAGACATTTTAGACAACAGGTACAGGGTGAAGAAAAAAGAAAAAGTATGAAAGAATTTCCTCTCACTTATGTGCGGTATATTCAAATTCAAATAACCAGAATAACAGAACGTATCCTTTTTTTTTTTTTTTTTAAAGTGATTTACAGCTTTAAAATAAGTTCACTTATAGCACAAACCTACTAATTTCCTGTTTTTATTTTAGGTGACTGATTGGAATCTCATAGTATTATTTAATGTGAAGTAATCAACACCAAAAGTACTTCATTATTTCCACATTGACATATTTGTGCCAGGGGAATGTTAGAACAATGTTTGTTATATTTAATTATAATATAAAATTAACTTGAAGTCAAAAAATTAATGACACACATTCTATCTACAGACTTTGAGAAAGTACCAGGAACAAATTACATGGATTGAGCTGTTTTTGTTTCTCATGAGAAAATTTGTTTTTTGTTGTAGGGAATTCCCATAAAGATCAATGCAAATTATTCTTCTGACGTGTCACAAAAAGAACCATCGCGATTCTAACGCTAATGCTAATTATCTCTAACTTGGTTCTGAAGCTTGTCAGCAGAAACTCAAATAGAGCCAGTTCTTACAAAGTCTCTGTTCCGATCCGTTTCTTCAGGAGACTAATAAAAGTTCTGGTACTTTTGTAAGGAACTAATACACTACACTACTTAGCAGTAGCTCAGACCAGCACCATATGACACATTAGTACTATATGTTCTTCCATTGAAGACTTTAAAGCATTATATTCACAGCATTTGCCACAAGACATGTACAATGTGCACACAACACGCCAGTCAATTAAAATGAACAAAAGTACATGTTACTACAGTTCAACCTGCAGTTTTGTAGAGATTACCTTAGAAATGCAGTTAAATATAAACATAACAACATAAAACCTTTTTTTTTGGTTTATTCACCTTTTTTATTTTCCTTTTTTTTACTTTTCAAACTCTCCAGTGACCAAGTGACTCTTCAGCACAATAATCTGAACAGTTGTTGAGAGATATTGTCGAGTGAGTCTGGTATAAAACCGCAAGGTACAAACCACTTCCTGCAGCACGGTGTGATATTGTAACACACCAGCTACAGGATTTAACAGTGAATTACTTAAGCTGTTTGTCAGGGACTGTGCAGAAATGTTGAATCCTTTTCTGGAGACGTCCCTCAACTGTTACTATAATACCAGCAGCATCTGTCCACGCCTGTACTACATTACTACCTTCTTTTCCTGTGGCCTAAGAGCTCCATCACCAACATGTATTGTCCAATATGTCCACTGTCTCTCCTTTACCACATGTCCACACCGTCCCAACTCTGTGACTTTATCTCCTAACAGTTCCACTCTCAGCTCTACATCTGATTAATTCTAATCCTGGTTCGTAAAAGTCCGGCTTCTCCAGCTCTATGTACGGTATTCAAGCAAACAGGTTGAGTTGCTAAAGTAAAGTGTATCGTAAATAATTAGCAACAGTGATTAGTGAAGTTTGTTTCCAGAATATGAAGTTTAACGGCGATGAAGTGACTTCAGATGACCTGTCACCTCGGAGCCCTCTGACCCTCCACCCACATCAATATCATCTATGTACTAAACCAATGTACTTCTCTTTTGAGATCATTTGTTTCCTGTGCTGCGGCTTGAACCATAAATTCTGTTTTCAGAAATAGCAACATCGTATTATAGTATTTCTGAAAAATACCTGACCTCGTGGTGAAATTAGAAAATAACACACTTTTTTTTGCTGTGTTAATCATTCATTTCAATGTCAGATTAGTTCCAAACACTGGTTTAGGATGGATATTAAAATAATTAGATCACACGTGTACAAATGTGTATCTGTTCTAATAATGCCGTCATTGTTTGTACTCGTGATCAGAGTAACTGTAAAGTTTTTGAAGTTTTTTCATCTTTTAAGATTTGGAGAAATCCAAAGTTCACAGTAAACAGTACTGAGGCTACTACAGTAATACCAGATGAAGTACTATTGTAAGTAATATGGAAATCAACACTGAGACTCACCCATGGTTCGATGATGTCCTCCGTCCCTGTCTTAACTGTGTGTAGAGAGAGCAGTTCCTGCAGCGTCCTATTCAACTCTGCACCTCGAAATAGGATGGTGTCTCCACAAGACAGTTTCATTGGTCGACACCGCAGCCAATTTTTTTTTTCTTTTTTTCCTTCCCTTTTACAGAGAATAATATCAGTCAGATCTAGTTACACACAGAGAATAAATTGTTACGTTTGAACAGTCAGAAATTGATTCAGGAACAACTTTATTAACTTTTATAATCATGTACTGTATTAATTAAAACTTATATTTCTGTCTGAAATGTTTTGCCTTTGAATAATATTTGTAAAAAATATTCTACTTTACTTTTTAATATTAACATAAGCTTAGCCTAATTATGACTGTATATGCAGTTCTCCACATTAAATGTTTTTGGAGGGTAATTTTAATTCATTTCTAATTTTTAAAACTGTCAAATGTGTAATACTTGAGTTGACTCCACTCTCTTATCTGAAGAGATAAAAGATAATAAAAACGTATTAATTAATTAGTTATAAAATTAAATGTACTAATGTAAAATCCTGAGTCACTTGAATATTGTTTAAATCAATAATATCATTTATTTTCATTAGACTCAGTATCAAGCCATTTTTTGGTATAATACATAAAACCAACTCCGGACTGAACTACAAATTGAGGAAGTGAGAGCGAAAATTGAACTAATGGCCCAGAAAGGACATTAAATGTCACAACGACATTTCCCGAATCTTGTCATTACTAAAAAGAAAAATCAGTATTTTAAGAATGAATTTAAAATGAACAACTAACAGTTTGAAGCAAATTGGTGTCTCAAGGAGTATTTCAACATGACTGAGGTGGGTTTTTAAAAAATAACATGCTTAATCTAAATTCATGCCTTTTTGTGTTATTTGTATAAAAGTGAAGACTCTCCATAAGACACTTGTACATATTCAATAGCAGCATCTCAGTTTACAAAGTGAACTCAGAGCTTGTATGTCAAGTAGTACTTCTTTAAAATGCTCTTTACTGACCACTGCCTGAAATATGCTAGTTAAAAATACAAATGCCAGGAAAAAATGCAGAAGCATTTGATTTTTTTTTTTTTTTTTTTGCTACTCAACCAGCAACCAGTTATGGGTCACTGGAGGTCATTTTAACATATTACAGTCAGACAAGCAGTGACCTTAGAAGCAATCGTCAGTAAGGTGTTGTGGTAAACACCGCAACAACTGCCCCCTGTTGATCTTCACTGGTGCTGACGTTCACATTGGTATTGACTGCATCAGGCAAAGCCAACAGGAGAGTCCCACCTCCACCTGTATGGGGCTGATGCCAACTACCTCCCAGTGGAACTCCAACACCATCTACAGTACATCAGGGGTGCCCAAACTGTTCCACAAGGGGCCACTGTGGCTGCAGGTTTTTGTTCCAACCAAGCAGTAGCACACCTGAGTTGACAGGTTTAATCAACTGGTCTCAGTCTTCAGACAGCTGATTGGAAACTATGTGCTCTTGGTTGGTTAGAACAATAACTTGCAGCCACATGGCCCTTTGAGGAACAGTTTGCGCATGCCTGATCGACATAAATCAAAAGTACTGCAAAGAGGTGTGTTTCTTTTCTTATTATTACCTTATTTGTTTTAACAATGTTTATTACTCTTGGTGTAAAAACTAAATTTTTGGTTAAAACACACATTTTTGCTTCTGGATCTTGTTTTGTTGATTTGCTGCTTTTTCTTTTTTCATTAAACTTTTACTAATCTTTGTGGCTTATAAATTTCAGTGTACTTTTTCTTTTTTACTTTATATAAAGAGGAATAGAGCAACATTAAAACACATGTAATTCTATTAATAAATAATGGACTCTGTTACATGCCGACATGACATGCTGACAAGCAGGCAGGACCCAAATGCAGCACAAAGGACACTAACTTCAGGTGCAGCAGGTTTATTCACAAAGTACAAAATAACAGAAACTCAATGGGTCGTATGAACAAGGCATGTTATATNNATATATATATCTGTTCTGTGTTACCTGGTACACCAAGTAAGACCAGCGACACAGGTGAGTGTAATCAAGCTGATTAGCTCTACCCAGCAGACACAGCAGGAAAAGGAAGAGACAGATGTCACTGATTCAATGAAGACATTTGTTTTAAGTCAGCTTTGAGTTCAGTCCTGCGAAGAAAAAAAAGGGTGTTTACCCCTTCTGAAGTACCTGCCGTAGTTTTGGCCAACAACAGGAACAAAAATGAAAATCGTGATTTAAAAAAAAAAAAACTTATGGGGAACTCCAAACAGTAACTGATTTTCAGTTCATGGAATGAACAAGACGTTAAGATTTGAATCACTTTCTGAAATAATATGCAAGTAGCATAACAGCACATTGCATTGTTAATTAAGTTTTATATTTGCATATACATCAGAAAAACGTTGGTAAGACTGCACAAATGAAGACTTATTGTGAAAAAAAAAATTTCTCTTTCAATATTTCTAGGACTCGAGGTGAGAAAACATTATTAGTGGAATTTTGACAGAATCTCTTTGCTTATCACCCTAAAATCTAACATCTTACCTTGAAACTAACATGTTGTTTTATATATGTGTCGTATACTGTATATTAACTGACTCACAGCTACACACATTATTTATCACAGCTTGGTGTAAAGGTTTTCTACAGTGACCACTGTTCGATTCCCAAATTCCGTTTCAGCAAATTTGAGCTGAAATTGTTTTAGAATTTAACTTGATATTTGCTTTCTTCAGAAATGATTCACAGCATTTTCTTGACTCGGTATCAGGATTTTTTTTTCCACACACACCTACGCTGTCTTCAACTGGTTAACACTATTCTCTCCCACTCATGCAGATTTACTCATCTATACTAAAATATTACAGATCCACTAATACCAGTGTGCTCTCTTAAAGAGAGAGAAGATTATTGTATTGGTTTTGATATGATAATTTGTTATTTTGCAGCAGAGAAAGTGACCGTTTCTCTCCATGACGGGAATCAGAAAAGCTCAAAAATGGTTCCCAGGATTGTGACTCACTTCAGACAAGAAATCTGTGTGTGTGTGTCTGTGTTGTATTCACGATATTTTCTCCACGTTCGGGTGTTCGTCGTATTGGCCGCACCTCAACCTCACATGTTTATATCTGTGAAGGTATGAAATGAATAGCTGGGGATTTTCTTTGTCTCACAGCCTGTGTTTTTGCTCATCGTCTCCACGTTCGTTTGTTGACTATAGGAGATAAGACTTTTTCACAACATGATACAGTTCGTTGTAATCCGAACAAGTTTCTCATAAAGGCCTCATGTTTGACATCAACAGCGAATGTGTTTTCACCAAAGTGCACTTCCCAAGCCAACTGCCCTACTTACATTTATTCCCCTGCGTCTTCTATTCCACGTCAGATTTCTAACTCATCAACTTGTGTTCCCGTTAATGCAGTAGTTGTGCGTATATTAACAACGCAATGTTGTTGTTTTTTATTTTTTATTTTTCGTCAAAGCCTTTGCATGAAGACGTTGCAACTGTCGCACAAGGTGCGTTCAGGTACAAACGGAAACGTGATAATCTGTCGATTACGGCACTTAACTTATAAATAAACAATATTACTTTTTCCCCTTCATCTTCTCACCAATGCTCTGAGTCCCTCCTATCCCCCGCTCTGAAAACCACTGGCCTGTTTATGATGGTAAATTTGGAACCTGCCGGAATGTCACGTGTACAACCAAACATGTTCTAAACTCGAATTACTTGCTATTATTAAGCAAATGCCTGTTTAATGTTTGACATAATTAACATTGGTCTTCTTTGCTGCAGAGATGTGTACTAAGGATAGCTATGTTGTGAATCCTACCTAAATATATCATTTTAAAATGATTAATTTACTCTAACATGTAGCCAGTTATGTGAGAATGTGACAAATTAGACTAAAGCAACTAAATATGTAGTTTTAACCTTTTACATTTGTGATGCAATTCCTTTGTTATAACAAATATTTTGCATGTCAGCCCTTAATATTGTGTACAGTACCTTACACACACACTGCATTTAAAACACAGCTCCCCAAAGCATTAGGATTTGATAATTTGAGATTCAGTCACATAAACATGTCAGTGAAGGATGTGGGAGAGGTCAACTCTTATATTTCTTGTGAAATTGAAACCTATGCATTTGAGGTGAATTCCCCAGCTGTCCTCTTATTCCAGGAAACTGATTGTTGAGCGCACAGCGAGTCTGTGCGTTTATATGTACGTGTAAGTTTCTGTTACACATCTGAAAAATCCCTCTTCAAAAACTCTGATGTTTATTAGACCTTTTCACTCAGTAAAAATCATGAATAACAACTTGTGAAAATACAGCTTGTTCATTTATTTCATCATGAAGAACATCTGTAACATTTGTCAGATTATTGAAAAACACAAACATGAAAAATGAAATGGATACATTGATGCTTTTTTCTATTTATAACGGACACAGATTTTCCCAGGTTGACTGACCTCAACATTTCTAAAATATCATAAATTGCATAACTTTCCATCTTAAGTTTCAATAAAATGTAACCAAAGCCCCAGCTACGCACTGTATCACAAATAATGTGTGAAATTAATAAAGCAGATATGGTGTGAATATAAAGCTGATTGGTGTTGTGTTATCTTCAGCTTGTCCCTGGAGGAACTGAAAACACATTGCAGTGATCTGGTTCACATTGAATGGTACAGTCACAGTAGGAGGGAACTCCATCAATTATGCATTACTTTCTTGAAGTAGGAAAAGAGAAACTAGCAGGAGCACTGCAAATACGTCAATCGCAGTCAGATTGGTACTAAAACTGAGTGAGAATTTCTCACAGAAACCAAGTTCCACTGCAGAACAACAACAAAAGGACATTTCAGTCAAGATGACAAGGCCGTGTGATACAAACAAATAATACAGTCTTAGTAAGTAATGTGAAGTACAAGTATTCAAGACTTATTCTAGGCCAATATTTTACTGCATCAAATTTCAAGGTACAATAGGTCGTATAGTGAGGGAACGGAAGGAAGTTTTTGGTTTTCACAAATCCTTTTACCATACCATCAGTCACTCACACTCACAACATCAATAATTTAATGGAAATGATTGGATTTTTTTAAATGTAGAATTGATTTTGAAATTTTCAGACCATTGATCACACTCAGTGACTTATTGGAAACAGACATCTGCTCTGCTGCAGCTGAATTACTCAATTGCAAGAGTATGGACTTTGCTGCCTGGTTGTTGCTAGGCTGCAGAAGTCTTCTGGGGTTGCTACTGTGATGATCTGTGCAGATGATGAGGGATAGGGTTAGGATAAGGATTAGAATTAGGGATAGATAGAATTAGCCCTAGATAAGCTCAACATAATTGGCTGGGAACATTCCAAAATGGCCGTCAGTTCCATAACCTCGCCACCAGCCCTCGTCGATCATCTCAATTCCGGTGATAATTTCATCAGGATCAAAAGAGATCTCTGTATCATCAGCTGATGAAAGAAAAAATAAAATCAATGAATAGTAAACATCACAACAGTACGAGGGTTTGTTGAAAGAAATTAATCTCCTTGAAGCTAATCATCTGCCTTCATCTGAGCTTTCCTTTCTTCTACTGTTCCACCTTCATGTCTTCAATCGCTACAAACTTAATTTTCTCTGGAGTCATCCTTTAATTTCTTCCGGGGAGTTTCAACATTAACATTTTAACCTCATCATAAATATTTTTTTCTAACTCCAAGTCTATTCTAGGCCACCTTGTCATTCAGCATCTCCAACAACTCATGTAGAGAAAGTGAACTGTACAAAGTGTCTTTGTGCTAAAACAAAGCACAAACAAGTCTTACCGGCCTGGTAATCGTACAAGGCTCTTGCACAGATGCCTTTGACTGTGCTCTCCTCCTCTGGGGTCTCATTCATGTTATTCTCCCCCATCTGATGACAAAGAGGATTTATGTTAGATTGAAGAATTTATTAATGTCTATTGGAAATGGTCTGCTAAACCTAAGCACACAAGCACCTGATCAGACACATCACAGGACGTCTCCGGGACATAAGTGTCAGATGATGGGGCCTCCTCTAAAGAAAAAAATTGTGAGGGAAGTCAGTATGAAACATATCTGTTCTGAGTGAGTCCACCAGCTAGTGGCAGCAGCAGATCCAAGCACTAAATAATTTAAACCGGGGTTGTCCAAACTTTTTTCAGAATGGGCCATTTTTGATAAGTATATAAAATGTATATTAGAGATGGTCAACCATTTGTAGTGACATTTTAAACCATTAAAATCAAATGCAAATTACCCATTTAATGGAACATTTATTGCAAATGTTTTTTTTATTTGCATTACATACTGGACAAATCTGAACATATTTCACCAAAATCACTTTGCCGTTTATATCTGAAAAGCAAAAAATTACGAATTAAAGTCTGTTTGAGAAAAAAAATCTAGGAAGGGACTATTTAACAAACTGCAATAAAACTCTTCATAAGAAGGAACTTTTAATGAGAAGCAGATGGAAGAGTTTATGACATGATGGTAAATCTGACATGACTCCCACCTTTCCCTTGGTCCTGGGGGGGCACCTCCTGCTCATCATACTCACACTTGGTCTGTCCATCCTCCACATCGGGCTCTTATCAAACCAAAAACATAAGCACAGACACGCATGTATGCAGAGGAACACAATCACAAGTCCACACAGGTGGGGAAAACACCAACGCAACCACCATTTCCACCACCAGCAGCAGCAGTAGAAGCAGAAGAAAAACTCTTATTATGAAAGAGTTTGATGAATGGAAGCAGGTTAAATGATAAAAATCATGATTGACAAAATGATAATATGCACAGACAACAATGAGAAAATGCATCTTTTAGCAGTGAATGAGGCCGTCAGTGAGTAGGTGTTTTTAGCAAAGGTCTTCTGCTATGGTTTCTGCCTAAAACAAATGTGTCCCGACCAGATCCTCAAATCCAACTTCTGGCCAGTACTAATCTGTATCTCCTCACAGTAATTTATTATAACAGCAACCACTTAGTCTTAGTCACAGTCCTTTGATTAAAATGTAATTAAAAACAAACCCAATTCTGGTCAACCATTTAGCAGTGATTAAAGGTCAACCACGTTTAAACAAAATGTAAAAACGTGGATGTAGTCTCTGTCGTGGTGTGTGCATGTGTACATAGCTCACACCTGCAGCACGGACAGGAGAGGCAGAGTCTGCTGGTACGGGGGAAGCTTGTCGCTGAGGTGAGCTGCTTCGCTCAAACTCATTTGCTTGCTTAGAGAAAAAAGGGCTTTGCAGGCGCCCTGAGATAAGACAAATATGGAACCACAAAAACCATATGGACAACAGGGCAGGAGAGAGAAAGAAGGGGGAAAACACAGAGCTGAAAGGTTGAACAGAGACAAATACCATGACAGCAACACAGTGTTAAATCTAACTAGGTGACAACAGCACAGTCTAATGGACAGATATGAAAAAAGGATAGTGTTGTTCTGTAGACATAGCCAGATGTCATCTACCACTCACATGTCAGTAAACATCTACTTCATGTTAATTTAGAAGTGGCAGTGAGACACATGTTTGTGTACGACGGTGGTTGATACCTGGCTGAGGACTAGCGGGGGCAGCAGGCGGCACGTCTGAGTCACTGGGAATAATTCCTCTCTCTCTTTGTTTAAACATCTCTCTGGGGTTCATCGCACGCTGAGAAATGAGTGAAGCTGCCTCCTGGAAAAATAGTATGTAAACGTCATTTTTTTTAAATGACAACCTGAATCACTGCCAGTGTCTTCTTGAGGAAGCAGATGCTGTGGACTATTGAATTTGTGGTATTTTTAACATTAGTAAAATATTTTTGTGTCTTTGTGTATATAGAGCAGTGATTGGAGCAGACTTTAATGGTCTTGTAGGGGAAGGTAACAGAGGAGATGAGGATGTGATAGGCAGGTTTGGTGTTAGGGAGAGAAACGTAGAAGGACAGGCAGTGGTAGATTTTGCAAAGAGAATGGAAATGGCTGTGGTAAACAC